AAGCATTTAACCCACTTTTCCCCGCTTTTCTGTCGTTTGTTCTCATTCTGCGAATTCTAAGCTTCATTTCCTATGAAAATGTGGGGTTGTCAAACGGGAAAAACAAACAATTAACATTTTATGAACGGGCGAACAAAATTTAGAGCTTTTCAAAGAGGGGGTGGGATGAAAGGAAAACGATTTGCCGCAAAGTGCAATTCCCGGGGAAATGGCTGAGTGGAAGTTGTAGAGAATATAATCCTCTGCAAGCTGCTGCTCATCCAAGCAATTCATAACTTTGCACTTACAAATTATTTAAGCAAATTAGGCGCCTGCCTTGCTGCTACTGCTCCTACTGCTGCTCTTGCCGTGGAATCCACTTCATCAGCCGCTTAGTAGCGAAGAGCCTTTTGTAACCTCCTACCCAACTAACTTCGCAACGGCCGAACTTCATTTTCATTCGCATTCATAATCGTTCAGAGCCAAAAGTGTATATAAAAATGAGCAAAAACGAGGAGAATAACATTTGCGTAGCGTGAGGGGTGATGCTGGCAATTTGTGCTGGCACAAAAAATTGTAATCCAAAAATTGAGTTCATTTAAGTTGCACTTGAACACTTTTCAAGATGAACAAAGTTGAATGTGCTGCCAAAAATATAAAAATTGACCTACAAATGTAAGTACCATAGCCAAAATGAGATAAATGAGGATGTAATTTTAAAATATGTGTATTCATATGAAACCTATAAAAAAAAATGATAATAAATAATAAACATATTCAACAGTAAACAGTAATATCAGCTAAAATTAAGTTTTTGCTTATAAGAAGATCGCAATTCTCTAAAATTTATTATAAATAAACAACCTGTAAATTGGATAAAAGAAAAAAACAACATTTTTAAGCTCTTTCTGGAGTACTGGCACTCCTCTTTATGTGTACACCACTTATCTAACTCAAGTAACCCGAACATATTGCTCATTTTATCAGTCAACCACCAAGACCCTCTATATGTCGTCACCACCCCGAAACCCTTTTTTCGACAGATTTTGCGGGCGAAACGCCTTCGCTGACAAGCGTGTAATCTCAACTCAAGCGGTAGAGCAGTGAAAGCTACCACAAAAAAATTAAATAATATAAAATGGGAGGGCGGGCGCATCAGGCTCTAGGCCTAACCCTTTTTGCCGGGAAAAGAGGGTCGGGTCTCGAACACGTGGCCTAGACACGTGTCATGTGGCACTGTTATCGCGCGGGCTGCAGACAGAGCAGGCCTATGGAGGAAAATAAAATCCCCCAATCCTAAATATTCCCTCAGAGAACTGAGCTCTTGATGATGTCTCATAAAAATTCACTCACTCAAAGATTACAATCGAAATCAATTTGTGTGAGGCGGCATATTGAAATGGAAACCCCACGGGAATGTAGAAAGATATCGGCAGGGTTATAAAACAGCTGTGGAATTGAAATGTTTGACAGAAGAGTTTCTATCGAGAGAGAGGGGGTTTGAATAACAATAAAACAAATAAAATATATATTTAATTTAAAATGAATTTTAACTTTTTTCTCTTATATTTATTTTTAATTTCTCTTCAAGAAAGAGGGGATAAGCTTTCAATTGCGTCAAATATATTTTGAAATCGATAAATAAAATTTTTATATAAAATATAGGCATATTTTTTATCTAAAATAAATTTATCAAGTAAACATGGACAAATAATTGTATTTAATTCCTTATAAATATTCAATCAATTGAAAATACATTTCCAGCCATTAAAAAGATTATTTGAAACGGATTTTTGCGTAGCTAGAATAAATTTTCCAGTGGTGCATCAGATAAATATGATTTCCGTGTCACGTGCACGAGTTTCTGTTTGTTTTTACGCCCCAGTCCAACTCCCCCGATGCCCATATTCTCCATCAATGACAAATAACCAAGAGTAACTCCCCCGTGCTCACTAAGATATTTTCTTTTTTTTCTCCCCTTCGCACAGCTGTGAAACATTTTGTGGTCATGTTGACAGAGAGTAGAGTACGAGACGAGGAGGAAAAAAGTTGCTTTGGGGAAAACATGTGTGTGAAATCACTTCAAACTTAGAGGAAAGCGAAGCGAAAACCGGCGAGTGTATCTGATAGATACAGATAGAAAACATATGATGCTCAACGCTGGCCACCGCACAATTTATATAATGATGTCGCACTTTTGTTCGTTCTTTTTGTTCTTGTTCTTCTTGCATTTTGGCAATAACTATTTATTAGATACATAGATACAATGTTGTATCCGCTGCGTGCCTTTTTCCTTCCTTGCCACTTTGGTTTTGACTTCCCTGCACTGTGTGCCGTACTGTGCTGCTCTAAAATGCAATTTTATAGCTGTCAGGGGAATTTAACGCCAAGCGCGAAAATGCCAAAACCTTACATTGCCCTGCCACGCCCCCACTGCCCTGCCGCCCCTCGTGTCATGTTGTGCCTGCCTCCACTTTTCGCCCATCGCTTGTCTTTTGTTTACGCTGCGCTAGTTTTTGGCTAACGATAAAGTGTCAAGATATTCCTTTTTTCACTCCATTGTTTTTTTTCATTTTTCTATTTTTTTTGTTTTTTTTTTGTTGGGGGTAGAGTACGACACTTGCAACAAACAATTTTCCATTTTTTTTTTTTTTTTGTGTTATGCATTGCGTGCAGAGCGTAAACAAAAGGGAGAAAGCAAAAAATACAGAACCTCTGAGCCAATATAGAAAGAACTTCGCTTCGGAAAAAAAACAGGCCCACCCCACATCACCACCCCATCTATGAGCTCTCCGCACTGCGTGTGCAGATAATAAAACTAAATAAATTGATGGTCTTTGTGCAGAAACTGACAAGTTGCAGGCAACAACGAAAAACGTTCGATGGCCATATTATACATAGATGGATACGTATATATCAAATGTATTTATATACATAAAGCGGAAATATTCAAACCGAAAGGCAATAACAATACACAAAAGATAGCCCAGATAGATACATAGATATTACTTCGTTAGATGCATGGATGTCCATGGCTGGTTTTGGTCTGGTAGATGTAGATGGATAGCTTGGGAATGCCGGTCATTTATCATCTCCCAACAAATGGAAAGCGCATTGCAGGACTCTAAAGGGAATCGAAAACAAAGGCAAGTTGTTGTTGGGGACAATGAGGTGAAAAAGCTGAGATTTCTATGGAAGATTAAACAATTTAACAAGGTATCTGGGGAAGTTTAAGAGGAAATATTAAGGAAAACTGTACATTAATTTATATTATTTTAATTAAATTAACAACAAAGCTTACCTGAACTAAAAATCACAAAACGTTTTTCAAAACAATTAAAATTAAATATATTATTGAAAATGTTTTCTCTAATTAAATTCCCTTGAAGGCAGACAAGTTATCTCGGCACCAATTATGCTATAATCTCCCTGATAACCCAATTTTCTTTCAAGGCCAACAGAAGCAACTGTGACCACTCTATTACGACTACATCCCCTTTTCATTTTCACCCACGCCACAATTCATGAGCATAAATCAGCCACGAGAACGTAATTAAAACATAAACAAAAAGCAAAGATCCGAAGAGCAAAACAAACCAGAGGAAAAAAGTGCACAGATGTGCCTGTACAAACATTTTTTTCTGCCTCAATTATCTTTTTGCTTTGGCCATAACCGAATATAAATAAACAAAGTATTGAGCAAAATCAAGGGTAGAAGCAAAAAGAAAAAAAAGAATTTGAAAGAACATAAATGAAATTGATATGAATTAAAAAAGGGGTAAATTTAACTTTTGGTTAAATTTTAAATGCCGAAAGGTTCAAATAAATGAAATATTAATATGATCAAGAGCTCCAAACATGGAAATTAAATTTAATTTGTAAAAAAAAAATGTAACAAAATACTGAGGCCAAAAATCAAAGGGAGCTGGATCAGTGGATAACACACACAGGTGATTGTTTTTTTTTTTTGTTTTTTGTTGTGAAGATAAAAAACGGGTGGCTATCAAAAATGTAAAAGCTTTTCATGTATTTCCCGCTGAGATACGACGAACTCCTCCGCGGATATGTAAATGATATTTTCGAGTGGACGTCAAACGCAGCCATGTTTTCCGCGCACAACCTGCAGACCACTTCTCCAAAGGCATTTCCACCCACCTCCGCCAACATTGCGGTCGGAAAAGGCCACAGGGCAAGCGGCATTGGTTTCTGTTCCTCGGTGTTCTATAAGCCGCTTTGCCGGCCAATTTTCATCTCCTCTCCCCGCTGCTCACTCCCCTTTTCCCTTTATAGGCATTTTAAATTTTCCATTGCCCGGATTTTCAGCATTTTACAAGCCATGAATTTTTTAATAACCCTGCTCACTTCTTTCCCTTGTTCCCCTTTCCCTTCCCTTTACCAAAAACGCAAGCGACAATTCGCGTCAATATTTATGAGAAGCGACCAAATTGAAGTTGACAAGCTGCTCGGCTCAGAACCCAGGGAAAATGTCTACTGTCGACTTCGTGGTAGCGCCTTTGAACTGCTCTTGTTTTTCTCTATTTCTTTTTTTTTTTTTTTTGAGTGTTTTTGGCAGAATGTAATGCTAAACAAAGTGCAAGATTCCTTTTGTTTTGACTTGAAGGGAAATTTTAATTTGACTTTTGAGATGTTACAGCGTGCAGTCCATGAATATTTTAGGAGCTTCACTAAAATATGCGTATTTAGTTTAGAAAGTTCAAAAGAAACTATTTTGGCTGGTTTATATTCCGAAGAAGACTAATATTTGAAGTATCAAACAAATCATTTGAACAAATTGTTTTGAAAATAAATTACAAACTACTAGTCTAAATTTATAATAAACCTAGCACGCAAAAGTTTGCAGCTCTTTTAGTTCCTAGACATAAAGATTTATTATGTGCACAATTCTCCCACCGAATGTCGTTATAAATCTCAAAACCTTAACCGTATTTATTTGTCAACATATCTGAAATTGCATTTTCCACTACCATTTCTCACACTTCCTTCTCTCTTTCTCTTTGCAGGTAGGTGACAATGTACGTAACTTCTTTGGCGGGAAATCTCTGGCTATCTGCGTTTTCCATCCCTAAACCATTTTCCCCTGCTTGGAAAATCCTTCACCGTGTGCAAACATTAACATTAACCACTCCAATTGGCATATTTATCAACATTTCCTGATTGTGTGTTATATATTTTTGTGCTAAACAAAATCTTTCGGGCAAGTGCGTCATTTCAAAAAGCGGGTGGATTGGTGCGGTGAATATTAGCAATTAAATTGTATTTACAGAACTTATAGCGAGGGGGCAAATGGAATTTCACTTAGGCAATTAATAGCAGGTCATAAACAGAGACCAGAATCCTCAAACCAGGTGAACCGAAAATATATATCTTGCGGATTCTGCAGCCAAGAGTGCCATAAATTTTGGCATGGTTAAAGATAAATGCTATTTTTCAAGGACACTGTGAAATGTTTGTATTCAGAGATATATGCAATTAATATATCCAAGATATATTGAGGTATTTATGAGGTGGCATAAGGTTAGTCATCAACTCTTGGGTTGGCGACTTTTTCATCTAAATCTGCGTCCCGTCATCGGCTCTATATAGTATAGATACCCTGGAAGGGGTACAAATGTTGAACGAAATTATTATATAAATGTTTTTTTAGAGAACCAATATTTCGAAACTCACATAATATCATGGACCGTATCTTGAAGTCTTTCCCATTATGTGTTTCTTAGTTTATATTTTGAGTTTATTTTTATACCACACCTATTTTTGTTTCACTGCGCATAAACCTATTAAAATGCTACATTTATTTGATTAGGAAAATTTAACTCAGTCGACAGGCAACTAAATTTAAACTTGAACAGAATCGGTTGATTTTATATTGAATACCTTAGGTCCCCCATTTGCATTAAATATTGTAGAATATGTGAAAAAGAAATAAATTTAATCAGCAAATGTAAATAGGCCTCAAATCCAATAAATAATTTGCATATAAAAACAAATGTAAAGATAGATAGGCGAACTCAAGACATTAGCGCGCATGCTGATGAAATTTATACAGGCTTTTTGAAGGATTGTTGTCGTGTGAAAAAAACCAAAACAAAAACCATATAATATTATTAAAACAAGTTGCCAATTTATCTTCTTGACTTTGAAAACAAGTCAGACCGCTTTTGATTTGATTGCTTGTGAAAGAATTTGTTGCATGACCAATCCAAAATATGTACAGATAGATACAATGTCCATCAAACTGAATGCACAAATTCAAAAATGTGCAACAAAAAAAGTACAAACTCAATTAAAACAGTTGAGCCAGATTTTGCTTTCATCATGTGTTCGGCAACAAATACCGTTTCTCAAGCGAAGATAATCAAGAAGCCATAAATGTTATATAACTTTTGTTGTAGAGTCAGTCAAATAGTCATAAAATAGACACAAACACGCCATTCCATCTGCCAACTTAACTTACTAATTAACTAGACTAGTCTAGTCAGTTCAGTTCCTTAGTTCCTAAGTCCAGTCATCACAGTCATAACACTGCTTGACAAAAATAACAGAAATCAATATGTATAGCAAGTTTTACCTGAATGGAAAATGTCAAGATCGTAAACAAACCAAAACTTAAATGAGAAACGTGCCGTCTATGGGAATTTTAATAAAAACGAACGCAACAGCTGGGAAGTCATTGCGTTTCAGGAGTTTTATTAAATTACTTAAAAGATTTAATTTAATATTAAATTGATTGATACTGGAATAATTTTTATAAAAGTAGTTTAAATTACAAACCGTAGAAATTAATAGAGTCGTTGACTTCAAATAAAATTGTAGCAAATTACTCTTCATTATTGCAATTTTAGAGACATAATTGCGGTTTGTTGAAATTAAAGCTGAGCAACAGTAACATTTTTAAACTTGTGGGGCAACCCTCGCTACAACCTTGCTTCACATATTTCAAAATAATTTTATTTTTTAATCAGAATCAGTTTCAGTTTTGTTGGCTTTGGGTTTCCTTTTTTATTTCTTTTGTTAATTGCTTGCCAGCAATTCCATTAGATTCGTTGGTATAGATATTTGCCTTTTTGTTTTACCACAACCACGAAATATCAAACAAAACGAACTGTACACGTCGAGTAGAAATGTTTGGTTGGTCAACCGACAAAGAGCCAAAAGCAGAAGAGAATTAATAACCGCGGTAATCAAACGGAAGCGACCAAGTTGGTCAAGCGATCTGAAACGATTATTGTGTTGGTGGGTTGGTTGGTCAATTTCCGGTTGACCGACAATACAATTATGTAAATACGCTTAGAATGCTCCAAAAATTATGGACCCTCATTTGCTTAGAAACGTTTGAGCCATCATAATGAGCTATACTCGCGAATAACGATGATTATGGATATTAATCTATTCGGTTTAATACAAATAATAGAGACGACTTTTGAGTAAATCAATTAATAACCATAGTGTAACGTATAGATCTGTTACCTATTGGATTACTGTCTTCACTTCCAGAAATTTTCAAATAATTTATATGAAAAATACTTCCATTTTGAATGATCTGTTGAACACTTAAAATGTTTTTTCCTAAAATCCTATGTTTACCATTTGGAGTTAATTTTATGTGGGCTATCTTTGATGCTCCAGTTTGACAAATTTCGCCTTCAAAAAAGCAAGGAACCCACACTCATTACAGTTTGACTGCCGATCTTAATCTCGGCACACTGCTGTCGTTCATTTGGAAAGCTTGAAGAGTGGGAATTAAGAATTCGCAACACGAAGAATTGAAAAGAAGTCGGGAGGAGTCGTTGGAAGAAGAACCGGTCTTCTTAGCTTATCGCCTTCAAATGGGTGTCAATGCTGAAGAAGCGACGACAACAACGACGGTCGTCAAACAAAATGAAACCGGTTCTTAAGAACCTCCACCTCGAAAACCCCCTTTTCTTTGGAGGTAGGGTGTTCGTCGATGGTACCGTTAAGTAACGCGGTCAACATAACGGTAAACCAAAGACAGCGAAGAATCGAAGTCTTTCTTTGGCTTTTGGCTTTGGTTTCTGCTTCTTTTTATCTCGGCTTTCTTTTCATTAAAGCCAAAAGTGCATAAGCCAAATCGTGTTTGTTTTTGTTTGCCTTTTCCTCCTTACCTCTTTTTTGGCCAATTATTTTCGCTTGGCCTTTACGGCATTGCACATTTTTGTTCTGAGTTGGCCTGACCTGATTCTATAGCTCCAGTAGCTCCTATTTCCTTTCCCGTATTCTTTACTTTTTTTTTTGGGTTCTGGTTCATGCTTTTGTACCTTTTGCGGTTGTTGCAGCAAATCTGTTGGCCTTTTTGTGTCCAGCTACAGCTCCAGCTCTTCTTTCAGTTTACCTTGTTTGTTTTTCTTGCTTCAGTTGTTGTTTTGGTTTAACGCTTTTTGACCTTAATACCCAAAGAAAGGCGTCATTTTCATGGGATGTGGATCTCCACTCTCTCTTCTCCACTAGCTATTTCTTGACTCGAAGTTAGTGCAAATTGAAACTGTCAGTCAAGAGGCAAAGGCAACTCAACAACCCCCAAACACCCGTTTGCCCTGTCGGCTCTCACTTTAAAATGTGACCCCAAGTTGCATTTAAGTTGACAATGTCAGCCTGGATTATCAAAGAAAAGAAAGCAAAGCTTTGGAAGCGAGCAGCAGCGAAATGTAATGAAAATGTACCAAAATGTGTAATGAACTGATGAGGTACTTAACTGGTTTAGATCTCATGTGGTTTTTTATTTTGTTTTTAAAACTTTTTTTTGCCTCACAAAATAAAGTTAAATATATTCTACCAATTTTAAAGTCATTGGTATACAATTCTCCTAATATGAGCTGCCCAATTTTGTACATCTTCAACCACTGTTTGTTTTACTGCAAAAAACTAAAGATCAATCTTTATTCCCATTACTCATTCTAGTGCCATGGATAGTCCCACAACATATACTTTTAAAATCACTTTGACATCCACCAAATCCAACTCACAGACCCCTTTCCTCAGATCTTTCGTCCCATCACAGCCCCCTTAAAAATATATCAACACTATCTGTCATCAACTAAAGTGTGAAAAATCGAAATGAGACAGCAAAACAAAGCGAGAAAAACTAAAATTTGGAAACGAAAATAAATATTGCGCTGGCTCATTTTCAGTTTGGCAAAATTATTTGTATACACATGTTTTTTGGAATTTTCACCAGGTAGAAGAAAATAAGGCGGTCACTATGTGGGCGCAACATAGTTCTGGTTGTCTGTCTGTCTGATTTGACACTTTCGTCGTGAGTTTCGAGCAAGATATGAGATGCTGATGATAATATTGCTTATGATGATGAACCGAAAGAAATACTTAGTCATAGTTTTCATGCTTACGTGCCATTATCGCCGTCGTCGACGTCGCCTGCATGTGAAGCTTAGACATTGCGGCTGAGGAAAAAGTGGGTTATGACTGTGGCCATTGTTGTGTGGCGAATTTTGGCATGTGCGTCAGGTTTTCTTTGGTTACTTTTCCCTCACAATTGGCAATGAAAGAAAGCCCTCTGTTTGTTTGTTGGGAAACCATTGCTCTAAATCTTATGGGACTTTTAGAAGGAATGAACCAGATTGAAGATCAAATTTGGAAAGTTTTAAGTCTCAGGAATTTAGTTTTAGAGCTTGGAAAGCTTAACTAAAATTTAAGCTAACCTGAAAAAGGGGTTACCAGTTCCGAAAAATTAAATCATGCGTAAAAAAAACTTTTATTGTTTTTAACAAATCCTATTCTTCTTTGGTTTCATGTTTGATCTCTAAAATTCGATCAAACCCTGAACTTGACCCCTAAAATTAATTCAAATCGTTTTGGATGAGCAAATTAATTCTATAGCTTTAGCTCAATTTAGAGGGCAATTAACATTCATTTCGATTTTTTTTATTCGGCTTTACTTCCGAATTCCATATGCGTGTTTATCACGAAATGCAACATATTTGCTTAATTTATTTGGATTTATGGTGCAGTTTTTGTCAAGTGTTGACAAACCACTTTT